TAGGAGGCCGGATGAAAGTAGATCCGAAATGGCCAGGAGTAACATGGAAAGTGTACTTGAATTCTGAACTAGAAACACTGGTGTCATATAAGAGACTTTATCTACAGAACCACCACCTTGACTATCAGCTTCATAGGCTTCTGATTTGTTCTGAGATGATTCAACAAGTCAAAAATTTGAGCTCTTGTCTCGTAACGAAAACCGGCCATCCGGACCATTTAAGTCCGACGGAACTCCACAATTCAGGGTGATATTATCTGTTGGAACGCATGGAGGCTGCTCAGATGCAATAAAAATGGCAAATTTAAGGAAGGTTATGAGCATTATTATTGAGAAGTTCTCCACGGCAGCCAATGAGAAGAAAGTTGAAAGACTTATTTCTTTATTTAATGGAATGGCAACATAATTGTATTTTGCATCTTGCATATTGTAAACGTAAAAGTTAAAAGAGCCTTTTAAAAGCTAGATTCCTGGAAAGATACAAAGCTAATAAAAAATCAAAAAAGGTTGTGTCCTGCAACGCGTGTGAATTAAAGAAATGGAATAATCATAGGTGGATAAAATTAGTCTATGTGAACAAATTTTTTTTAGTAAAAAAATATCGTATTTGAAAATATAATTTTTTTTAAATACTAAGGTTATTAAATATTATTTTTTAAATTTTAAATTAATTAGCGATTGCCGATCCAATTTGATTGGAATAATCATAAATCAAAAACTAATTGACGTAAAATTGACTATAATGAAAAGGTGACCATTATTAGTAAAATTACATTTTAATCTTTTGATTATTAAATGTGAATGCTGTACTTAACTCGTTTAAGAAACAAATCCAACAAATAAGGTTGGACTGCTAAAGTCATTAATGATTCCAAATCTTTTAGTGGAAGCTGCTTTCCAACTTTTAGAGACTCAGACCCGCTAGTCTCCTTGTTCTCATCTGGTCACAATAAATTCCAAAAGACAATATTTAAATTTACGTTATTGTCGATTACTAAAATTTTATTTTTTAAAATGGAGTATTATATCATATTATAAGATACGGTAAATAATTTTAAAATTAATTTTTTATTGTTATTGTTAATTGACTAATTAAGAGTGTAAACTTTTCGTATTTTTAAAGTTTAAAATATTTAGGGAACAAGTTTATAAATTTTTTAACACATAAAACACTATTCAAATTGCATTTTAAAACATTTTAAAGTTTATTAGTTTTTATATTTTTTTAAATTTTTATAAAATAAAAATAATTATTTTATATATAAATCTATTTAAATATATTAAAAATTCTATTAAATTAAAATTTTAAAATTTTAAAATTTAAAATTTAAAAATCAATAAACCGAACTAAATCAATAAAATTCAGTTTAAATCTAATCAATATGAAAAAAAATCAATTCAAATTCGAATTAAATTTTAAAAATTTATAAAACTAAGTATTATCTAAAAAACATCAAATCAAATTTAATCTAATATGAATTATTATCATTATTTTTTAACTAAATTAGTAATTTTATTGCAAAAATAAATAGCTTATTCAGTAATACGATAAGATGTATTATGAGGAGAAATATAAATTATTCATCCAAAAAATCAATAAATAATTTTTTTGATAAAAAAATTCGAAAGTAAATAAATTGTTTAATTTTTTAAATAAAAATAAGATATATTGTATCTGATAGTTTAAGATAAATTATTATAAATCATATATTTAATATGATTTCAATAAATGGACTCAAATCTAAATCATTTTTATAAAAAAAAAAAAAATTTTTAATGAATTGAATAAACTACTCGTTAATAATCAATAAATAATTCATCAATTATAATTTTTAATTTCCAAATATATACATAACTTTGCAAGAATTTGTTGAGTAACGATCAGTCATTGACGTGGGACACGAAGCACTTTAGTTATGTAGTTTGGGTAGTTTGGGTCCGAAAGAAAATGAAAGGAATAAATAGGTTGACTGCTAAAGTCATTTGTGGGCCTAATTGATATTCCAAATCTTCGGTGCAAGCTGCTTACCAACTTTTAGGGACCTAAACCTGGTAATCTACTTGTTCTCATCTGGTCACAATAATTCCCAAAGGACAATATTTAAATTTACATTAATATCGATGAATTAAAATTTTATTTTTAGAAATTGAATATTATATCGTATTATAAGATACGGTAAATAATTTTAAAATTAATTTTTTATTGTCATTGTTAATTTACTAATTAAGAGTGTAAATTTTTCAAAATTTTAAATTGTAAAATATTTAGAGAACATGTTTATAAATTTTTTTAAAAAAATAAAACACTTTTACATTCGCATTTTAAAATATTTTAAAGTTATTAGTTTTATATATTTTTTAATTTTTTATAAAATAAAAATAATTATTTTATATATAAATCTATTTAAATATATTAAAAATCTTACTAAATAATATTTAAAAAATATATTATTTAAAAATCGATGAATCGAATTAAATTAATAAAATTCGATTCAAATCAAATTAATTTTAAAAAAATTGATTCAGATTCATATCAGATTTTAAAATTTTATAATATTAAATATTATTTAAAAGAATTAAATTTAATTTAATTTGATCTAAATTGTTATCACTTATTTTTTTGCTTTTTAATTAAATCAATAATTTATTACAAAAGTAAAAAAATTATTCAGTAATATGGTAAGATGTATTATGAGGACAAATATCAATTAATATTCATCCAAAAAATCAATAAATAATTCATCAATTATAATTTTTAATTTCCAAATATATATATATAACTTTGTAAGAATTTGTTGAGTAACGATCAGCCGTTGTCGTGGGACATGAAGCACTTTATTGGGTCCAAAAGAAAATGAAAGGAATAAATTTTTGGGTTTTGTCCACGCCACGCCTTTGCAGTTGAAGATTCAACAAATATCGCACTGGCAAACTCAAGAGAATTAAGTTGGACATGATAAAATTAAAATATGCATGAAATCATATATATATATATATATATTTATATATTATATTATAATATATATAATTATCAGATAATATTTGTTGACATAAATGTCTATATTGATAATTTTTTTTCGTTATGTAAAATAATTATTAAAATTTATTATTATAATAACACTTAAAATATTTATTAATTTTAAATTATTTATAAAAAATATATTTCAAAAGTATTTAATTATATAAAATTTTAAATTTTAATTAAAAATTAATTTAAATTCTAATGAAAATTATTTCTTCTATACATCACTTTATCTCAATTTAAAATTAATTTTAAAGTAATTTATTTTTTTCAATTTATCTACACTTAAAATGATTATTTAAATTTATCAAAACTTTTAAAAATATTATTTAATATCTTTAATATTTTTTATAAATAATCCTTACATTATCTCCAACTTTTAAATATATTAGTTATAGATAAAGATAATTTTAATAAAAAATCCACTAGCTTTAAAAAATAAATTTAGATATATTTGAATTAAAATAAAATTTAAATTTATATCAATATTTATCATAGACTTTTAATATTAATATTTTAAGAAAATTAGAAAAAAAAAGATATAAATACCATAACAACTTTAAGAAAATACTTATTATTGGTAGTTCTTAGTTATATAGTTTTTTTAATGTTCTACAAAACATATGAGCTAAATGAATTTTTCTTATTATTAATTTAATCTCTCTTTTTGTTAGTCTATTCTTGCTATAGGAACTAACATACTTGTTCTTATGATAAGTATTATTTCACTAAGCATATTATTCACTCTATCTTGTAAGATTTTTTTTTTTCAAATCAACTGTAACATTTTTTTTTATTTCTCAATTTATAATAAATTTAATTAGAGCCTACTTAAGCTAATATCCTTTTCATTATGATTTAAAAACAAAAAAGAAAATAAACTCAATAAATTTGTTTTTTTAAGGAAAAATATGTTTTTACTCTAAATTACAACTATAATTTTATAATTACAAATGAAAAAGTGAAACCAAGAAAATGACTAGCACAAAACTGTTCAAAGAAGAAAAAATCAAATGTATTTGAAAACGATGCGTATGAAAAATCCGAAATTATAGTATGCAACCAAAATTTGTTCGTATTGCTACGGGAAAGTGGAAGGTGTGGCCCTTTGAATAATAATCCAAACTTTGCAGCTGGAAATTAGAATGCAAGTTGCTGTTTCAGTCCAAATCAATCAATTCAACTATATATATACTTTTCAAACTATGTAAAGAAAATATACACATGGGCATTACCACTCTGCCCATGCGTGCAACCGCTCTGAAATCAAAATTTCAATGTGAGAAACAGTTTGGGTGGCGTCGACACTGGCATCGATCAGGGGTGTAGCTAGGGACAGGCATGAGCCATGACCTTCAAAAAAGATTTTAACACCGTTATAGTCTTTTTATTTATGAAACTTACCATTTAATAATCTTTTCCCGTTAAATTTATTATTTGGTCCCCTTCGCCCTATACCTGGCTTTGTCTCTAGCCATGATGTGGATATTTCTTGTCTCTCTTGACCCACCATTCCCATAATCTTTTTTCTCTATCGTATATAACTTATTAATCAATCTAACCTCTTATTAATCAAAGAAAATGAAAAGATTAACAAACGTTCGTTCAGGTGGTAAAAAGAGTCTACTTTTTTCTTAGCCATCTAAATTTGAATTTGTCGGGAGGCATGTGGAAAAGTAATTTCTCATAAAATAAATCTATTTACAGTGATTTGAAGAAAAAATATAATAAAGAAAATAAAAAACACTAAAAGATAAAAAGAAAATAAGATACATTAATTTGATATACAAATAATAATATTAAGAGTTACTACTTGATACATTATGAGTGAAATTTTTAATTTTACAATCGAAATTAAAAATTTAATATATATCTCACTTTTGTATTAATTTTTTATTTTTGTAATATATATTAAAAAGTATGTATCATTCTACTAATCCGTTTATAAAATAAAAAAAATTTATATAAGTGTATTTGGTAATAACTCTTTTATTATTATCTTTTACATACAAAAGGAGGGGACTCTAAATCAAATCTAAAACTTTTTTTCTCAATTATTTTAATTATACATAAGCCTAAAGCTTATCAAATAGATTCTAATCAACCAAACACTGACATGGTCAAGACTTGCAAAATCAATCAAGCAGGAAACAAAGCATGAAAGTCATTAAAAACACCTAATTTACATCCGCAACATTACTTATCAAAAAGAAAAGAAAGGGATTAAGGGTTTTGGCTGCAGTCTCCATTCTTTTGTCTAATTTCCTATGCTTTCTGTGTTGTTGGTGCTCGAGAACAAATATGATGATGTACTAGAATCAATAATAGGATTACTCATTCCACTAATAATCGGATCCACTTCTGATTCATAATCGAGATCGTCGTCGCGAGCAATCGGAAACACAATATCCGGGTAGCTATGTTCACGTCCAGGGTTGGTCTTCTCTTTCTCAAGATCAGCAGCCTCTTGGAGGTCTATTGCAAATCCCAACTTTTCCATCACATCATTCATGGATGGCCTATTGACTCCCAGTTCTTCTATGCAATTTTCTGCAATTTCAACAAACACCTTAAAACACTCTGAAGCTATCTTCCCAATCAGATGGGGATCGATCACCTGATAAAGAGTCCCATCCGAAATACATTTCCTAGCCCAACGAGCCAGGTTCACTTGACCCTCTGGCAGTTTTTTATCCAAAGCTTTTCTTGCACATAATACTTCAAATAACACTACACCAAATGAATAAACATCTGATTTTTCATTTAGTGCATGACCCCGGGCATACTCTGGATCCAAGTATCCCCATGTGCCCTTTACGCCGGTCTCAAGCATGCCAACTTTTGAGTCCATTTTCGACAACCCGAAATCCGAGACTTTGGCAGTAAATTTATCATCTAGGAGAATGTTACTTGTCTTCACGTCACGGTGAATAACAGTATGTTTCACTTCTGTATGAAGGTAGTTCAATCCCATTGCTGCTCCCTTGCAAATCTCTAGCCTTTGCTTCCAGGTCAGAGGATCATAGGCAGTAGCAGTATAGAGATGATCACAAAGAGTCCCATTGCTCATATAATCATACACGAGTATCATCTCACGATTTTCATTGCAATAACCAATTAAGGGCACCAAATGAAGGTGGCGAAGCTGAGAGAGCATCTCAATCTCTGTCGAGAACTCTACAACACCTTGTCGGGACTCTGGATTCAGGCGCTTGATTGCAACTACTTTTTCCCCTTCATCCAAGAAACCTTTGTATACTTTGCCAAAGCCTCCTTTCCCAATAACTAAATCATCATCGAAGTTGTTGGTAGCAGCTTTGATCTCATCCTGGGAAAAATGGCGGCATAGTTCTTTCGGTAACAATGAGGATTTTGTAGATTTCTCTTCGTTAGGATTTCTCCATCGATAAAACCAATTCGTTCCTGCGTAGGAACCGCAGTGCTGCCTCCTTTTATGTCGCCAAAGAACTATGCAAGCTAATAAAGAAACCAGAGCAAGCAAACTCACCGCACATCCGTTGGCAGCAAATAGCACTCTTCGCTTCATCTTGGACTTTCCACCTGCAGAATTTGACGATTCAATATGTGGTGGTGGTGGAGCTATCAGATGTTCAGGGTTGGGTCCGGCCAAATTGCCATCAGAATTGTTCATTTTGAACACTTCAATTCCATTTAAGATAACATCATAATAAATAGCAACCCTAGGGTGCAGATCGATGGTGATGTGCTGCTTATTCTGATTTCCATTCTTTAATATCAACAGAACATAATCCTTATAATATGGAACTTTGGCATGGTCAGTCCACATAATTACGTCAAAAATTGCTTCAGCCGTCTGACTGTTTAAAAAGACCTCAAACTGTCTCTTGCCTGGTGAATCTATCACATCTTGAATTTCACAGAAATGAAGCCTTACCATATACCTGAAATCTGAATCCACGAGCAATCTCCATGTTAAGTTGTGCCTCTCGTTGTAAGTACGATTAGGACCCATTGTTCGAGCTGTCCGATAAACCTCCTCTGGTGCAGTGTATCTTGGAACTATTGTGTAGTCGATTGGTACTGTGGTGTTGACGGTAAAATAGCTTTGAGTCGACATGTACTCATAGTCATCAGACCAGAGTCTGAACATGCCAGTATCATATTTTGGTGAGATAGTATTGCCACCAACGTTCAATCTATAAACCATCTCAAGTGCGGTGTAATTGTTAACAAAGAACCCAGAACTTTGGCCTATGAAAGGGGCACCCCCTAATAATTCTGGTGGTGTGTAGTAAAGATTGGTAGGCATTGACACGATCTCAATTCCATTGATGAAAGCGTAAGTATCATTTGAAGCACTCGGAGATGGAGTGAAAATGACATCCAAAACCTCATTCTCTTTTAAATTCAAGCAGAATTCTCTAAAAAATGATCTAAACCCCAATGAATCAGCAACAAGTAAAGCACTGAAATTTTTCAGTAAAGTGAAAGAACCTGCTTTGACAGAGAAAAAGGCCTTGGAAGGGTCAAATTGTTTATATGAAGCCGAATAAAAGTAGAGCCGAAGGAATTTCTGACCGGGAGTAACAGGGAAAGTGTACTTGAATTCTGAACTAGAAACCCGGCCGGTCATATAAGGGACTCTATCTACAGAACCACCACCTTGACTATCAGCTTCATAGGCTTCTGATTTTGAGCTCTTGTCTCCTGTCCAAATCCGGCCATCAGCACCATATGAGTCAGATGGAGCTCCACAATTCAGGATGATATTATCTGTTGGAACGTATGGAGGCTGCTCAGATGCAATAAAAATGGCAAATTTCAGGAAGGTTATGAGAATTATTATTAAGAATTTCTCCATGGAAGCCAATGAGAAGAAAGTTGAAGGGCTTATTTCTCTATCTAATGGAATGGCAACATAATTGTGTATTTTGCATATTGTATTCTTTTCCCTGTAAAAGTTAAAGTGCCATTTAAAAGCTAGATGCTTGGAAAGATAAATGGCTAATAAAAAATAAAAAAAGGTAGTGTTGTGCAACGGGTGTGAATTAAAGAGATGGAATAATCATAGGTGGTAAAAACTATATATTAAATATTATGTACTAAATATTTAAATGTACTAATTATAATTTTAAAATAAGAACGATATAAATTTTTTTTGAAATATTAAATATACTAAAATTATGTTATAAAAAAAAGTATAAACAAATTAAATTAATTTTCATGTTCAAACAATATAATCTTATAAAATTATAAGAGGGTGTCTATTGTTATAAAATTACAGTTTAATCTTTGACTATTAAATGTAAAATATTTTTGAATGCTGGTACGTTGACTGCTGAAGTCATTGTGGGCCTAATTGATATTAATCTTTAGTGGAAGCTGCTTTCCAACATTTGGAGACTTAGACCTGCTAGCCTACCTGTTCTCATCTAATCACAATAATCTCCAAAAGACAATATTATCCATGGTTAAATTTACAGATGAATTAAAATTTTATTTTTAAAAATTGAGTATTATATCATATTATAAGTAACGTAAATAATTTTAAAATTAATTATAAATAACATATTATAAATATTAATAGGATTGAGTGAGTATGTGGTATAAATAAAAATATGGTTGTTTTTCACACTCTTAAATGCTCATAGTAGTTTATATTTTTATATAAACATTTTCTTGTAATTTTAATGTTAATTTACTAATTAAAAGTGTAAATTTTTCATTTTTTAAGTTTAAAATATTTGGATAACGTATTTATAATTTTTTTAAAATAAAACACTATTAAAATTGCATTTTCAGTTTTTGATTGGGCCAGACTCAAATTCACCATAAGTGTATTGGATGTAAAACTATTAAAATTGATTATTACAGTGGAACTTGAACACCAAACGAAAATTATATTTATTAGTTATATAATGTGAAATGTTAAACTAATAAAAGTGGTGTGTAGTTAAAAAATGTTAAACTAGTAATCTAGGTAATCAAGAAGTGATCAGAATAAGAAATGGGAAATAACATAAAAGCCTAAACATGATTTACAATATGAAAAATATTTAGTCATTTAATTAATCCTTAAATTTCAATATTATAAATTTTTAATCCCATTGCTCTACCAAGAAAGAAATAATTTCATTAAAGTAAATGAGTTGTTCAAAGATTACTTAGTTATGATCAGTACTTTAATTAGGGGTGAAAATTTTTTTAAAATTTAAAATTATAGTATTCAGTTTAGTTTGGATTAAATTTTTTTATTCAATTCGGATTAAAGTCATATATTAAATATATATAGTACGAATCAGATTTTGTATCAAAAAATGAAAAACCAAAAAAAAATTGAACCAAACCGAATTATATATTTTATTAATATTTATATATTTTTTAAATTTTATAAAATAAAAATAATTATTTTATATATAAATCTATTTAAATATATTAAAAATCTTATTAAAATAATATTTTAAAAAATATAATTTAAAAACCAATGAACTGAACCGATCCAATAGAATTAAGTTAGGATTAGATCAGTTTTCAAAAAAAAAAATCAATTTTGAATTCGAATCGAATTTTAAAAATTCATAATACTATATATTATCCAAAAAACATAATCAAATCTATTTCAATCTCAACCGTTATCACTCTTACTTTTTATTTTTTAATTAAATTAGTTTTATTTCAAAAAAAAATTATTCAATAATAAAGTATGATGTATTATGTAGATATGTCAATAGATAGGATAGGGGTATGGTAAAGCATTTCTCGTCTCCATCCTCTTATTTTTATATTATACATATTCTCGTAGTTATACCCAACGAACATTTTAAATTTATCTCCATCCGTATCTTCACGAATATTTAATGAGTATTAAAAAAATTCTCGTACCCGTAACTTTTTTTGAAAAATAAAAACTAAAATTTATTTTTTAATATTTTTTATTTTTATCTTGTATATTTAAATTTTTTTATTAACATATATTTTTTTAATAAAATATATATTTTTTAATAAAATATATTAATTTTAATTAGTCTAAAATAATAATTTATATTATTTAATAAAAAAATCTATTTATTAAATATATATAAAAATATATATATAAGGTACTGGTACAAGAAGAGTACTTTATTGTCTATCTTCATCTTCATACATAGTAAAAATTTAAAATTATATCTATTTTTATCTTTATACCCATAATATAATACTTTTTTTTATCCTCATTGAAATAAAAAAAATTAAATTTTTTATTAGATATAAGTAAGATTGACATCCCTAATATTATGAAAACAAATATCAATTTTTCATCCAAAAAATCAACAAATAATTCGTCAAATTATAATTTTTAATTTCCAAATATATATATAACTTTGTAAGAATTTGCTGAATAACGATCCGTCATCCTTGTGGGACATGAAGCATGTTATATCTATGTAGTTTGGGTCCAAAGACAAATAAATGAATAAACTTTTGCGTTTTGTCCACTTCAGGCCGTTACAAAAAGTTAAATCTTGCAACTTTTGTCATTGTCATGTGTTTATTATGTGTCAAATCTGGTAACTTGAATTTTTGTATTGTATTTATTATATGTTAAATATATATAATATAAAAATTTATATTGACATATTAAATAAATTTTTTTAATTCATGTCTGATTTTTATTAAATTTTAAATTATATTATTTATGTATTTTTATATTATTTTCATATAACATTATTGTGTAAGATTTAAAATTATCAAATTTGAAAAGGGTAAAACAAATCAATCAATCATATAAATTCAGAAGTAAATAGCTAGAATTTGATTTTCCCTCATGTTAATTTTATTTTGGGCAGACCTTTACATTTTAAGAAACAACAAATATCGCAGCGGCAAACCCAAAAAAATTAAGTTGGATATGATAAAATTAAAATATGCATGAAATTAAAAAATTATAAAACATACCTTTTTAACTTAAGATTAAAACAAATTAATACAACTCTGAGGGCAATTTCTGTCAACCGGGTTTTGGATCAGACTTTTTTTCAGCCCATTTAGCATCACCCTTACAATATACAAAGCTAGGAATCCTGCTGGAGGAAACATAAACTATAATATCTATAAAAATGCTAATAATAAAAGGATGAAAAACGAAAGACGAATGGCAAATGACACACTCAAGTACAAACAGAATGGGCAATTCCTGAACCAGGGTAGGACTTGGAGTTGAATTTGACGACTTCATTTTCAATGGTTTTGGCGGCCACAGGAGTATGCGTTCAAACAATCAGCTATACCTCCTTTGGCAATACATTGTTCATCTGAAGGTGGGCAACGGTATTGCACGGCTCGATCAGGGTGAAGGGCCATGAGAGCTGGATGTTTACTGTCGGTGGTGGTCGATGCACTTGCTTCAAAAACCCTTTTGCTAGCTTCTGAGTCCAGCACGAACTCCACCTCTACGTTACTTGAAAGCAGGCGCTCTTTCTTTGAACCACTGCACTGGTTTCTGGTGCTCTTGTTCTTCTTAACAGCGTCGGCAGCACAATGTTGGTTGATGCTCAAAAGCATGATGATTACCATTAATGCTAGGATTGAAAAATTGAAACCTTCCGACATTCTCCTACTTTCTCCCATGTTTTCCACTCTCCCAAAAACTACCTTATCATAAAAATTCGGAGCGATTCAAGTCCACACACACACACACATATATATATATATATATATATATAACCAACTGGGATTGACTAATTTTAAAATAAATAATCATGTGAATTTAATATTTATATATATGGATAAAAATATTGTGTACGAGTACATTTAGAGAATTAAAACTGAAAATTGTATTTTAAAAAGAAAATAAAATACATAATTTTATTTATATGGACTAATTAATTATGTTAATATTATAAGTGGTGATATAGTTCATTCATTTGTTTATTTAGTTTTATTCAATCATGAATATCTTTAATTACCATTTATTTTTGTGTAATGGCTTTTGTAAAGATTAAAAAATAAATAGTAAAACAAAACAGCTAACGGAAAGGGCCTACAACATGCAATTAACAATGTAGAATATGTGTACTGATCAGATTCTTGTGGCTATTGGCTTATGAAAACTGAGGATGTAACATTCCCACCTTCTTTGAGAGGTAAGTAGCACTTGGCATTACTGATCAATTGGATGTAACTGTTGTACAAATGCTTTATTTTCCATCCTATAACTGAACTTTTTTGCACAAAAAGAAAATAGGGTTTCAAGCGAAAATTTTAATTGATAAAAACCTTATTTCTTGTAATCTTTTTTAATGCATTTCTAAAGGATGCTAAAACATTTAATTTAAGGCACTTATAGGTGCCATAATAAACCTTTTTTGAAGCACTCTTTTGCCACTTGGTAATGCTTTTAGAATAAATAAAACTGTTATTTATTCGAGAAAAAAAAAAGAAAAAAACTCAATTTTCGGCAAATATAAAATGGTGGTCAAAATCCAAAGAAACTTGAATTACTAGGTTATTTTTTCCATTGAATCTCAGTTTCACATTGGATGGACCTAGATGTAATTGAGTATTTTAAAACCTCAAACAAGGGTTTAAAATCATGAAATATCAAGGCTGGTTTGGTTGAGCCATTTAACGGAGCTTTTCTCGGGAATCATGCTGTGTTAATAGTCATGTCAGCAGGATTAATTAGGATTTGCTTGAAGTGTAAATGAGTGATTCAAATGATAAAGAGTTTTTTAAATGTTATATAATTTTGTAATACTTGGCGCAATGCTTTATACATCGTTTAATTTCTATCAAAGTTGCATCACATTGTCCTTAAAACTGAGCTCAAAATATCTGTCATACAGCTCCCATTTTGTCTCATTTATAGTTTTATTTTCAGTTAAATTGCAGAAAACCATCGACACCAGTTGTCTGAACTT